TGTTTCAGGGACGTGAATGATGCTTTTACACCACAAATATGTGATATTCACATTTCCCAATTCGAGAGTAAGTTGCGCTTCTTCTACTGTTCGTACGTCCAGTTCGTTTATTCATCTGCTTACTTTTACATCATGCACCAGTAAGTCTTCAGCAGCAACAACAAAATCAACAATTAATATCACCACCAATAGGAATTCAACAAAATCTAGGACAAGATCAGTTAGGGATACTTCCACAACAAAATCAACGTCAAGATTATCTTTGGATTCCTCCACAACAGCAACAGCAACAACAATATTACCAACAACCTCTTCCATTCCAGCCACAACAACAGTTCTTAACAACAGCACCACAACAGTATTAAATAATAATAATAATAAAAATAAAAATAATGTATCACTAATATATGCACCATTTGAACCAATTACACCATCATTATCTGATTATTGCATTCTAAATAAACAATTGACATATGATGAAAAATTAGCAAAATTAGAAGCTGTTCATCTGTCTGATATAATATATACAATTGGGGATGTAAAATTGACACAACATGAGATTAATGTTCTAGTTAAAGGTTTGAAATTTATTCCTAATCGGCCATTTCACCTTACAAATGAACTGCGTCTCTGTGTCCAAAAATTTTTACAATCTTCCAAACTATTTAAAAATATTAAGATTGATAACTTTCTTCGATCATTATTTGCTAATCGTCATCAATATCAACAAAATTTATCAATTGAAGAACAGATTGCATTAATTCAATTACAAAAAAGAACTGATATTATTATCCGTCCAGCAGATAAAAATGTTGGTATTTGTATAATTGAAAATCAAGTATATGAATCCAAGGTGCTACAACAGTTAAATGATACAAACTATTATGAAATGTACAATTCTAATCCTTGTACACAATTATATTGGAGAATTAAATTTGTTCTAAACGAATTATTAGAAAATAATGATATAACTAGATTTGAAATTGTAAAATTGAAACCAGTGAGACCATCATCTGCTGTTTTTTATATTCTTCCAAAATTGCACAAAAAATCGTGCCCTGGTCGCCCAATTGTTTCTGGTTGTCAGCATATGACTTCTAATATCTCCAAATATTTGGAACAACAATTGACACCATTTATACCATTATTACAAGATATCGCACTGGAAGATTATAATATTGACAATTATATTATATTAAAGGATACAAACCATCTATTAATTGAAATTGATAAATTAAATCATCAAATTAACGATCAAAAATTGTATGTCAAATATATCACTCTTGTCAGTGGTGATATCTCAGCGTTATATACAAATATTGATCAAAAGGACGGTTTATCTGAACTAAATGATTTTGTATCTAACAATTCATATCGTACAAACTTTAGTCTTACTATGAATTGTTTTAATAAATTATTAGAAGTGGTATTAACAGGCAATGTCTTCATATTTAAAGGTGTTTATTTTCACCAGCGCATGGGCACGGCTATGGGCACGGAGCTTGCCACTCCGTATGCCAATATATATGTGTTCAAGAAAGAAATAAATGCATTGAAGTTGTTTGTTAAGAAATATTCGTCATCATTAATATTAAGATTCTTTCGATTTCTTGATGATATTCTATGCATTTTGTTTACTACTGATAAAAATATTATTGAAGATTTATTTAATTTGTTAAATCAGATTAATAACTTAAAATATACATTTGAAAGTAGTACAACTAAAATTAATTTCTTGGATGTTAATATTATCATTAATAAAACATTAAATCGTCTTGAAACGTCATTATATGTTAAGCCATCGAACACGTTTCAATATTTACAATATACATCATCACATCCTCGTTATGTCATCGATAATATCCCTCTGTCTCTCTCTAATCGTATTGTTCGTTTATGCTCTTCACCATCTACAATGTGGCGTGAATTTTATAATCTATTTAATCGTCTGTTAGCACGCGGCCACAGAGCATCTAATATCTTACAAAAAATTTTACAAATACAACAATATAATAGAAAAGAATTAATCTATCGTTCAAAAAAACAGAATAATGACAATGATTCTAAGAAATATAAAAATATAGTAATTCCGTATCATTCACAATTACCAAACATTAAAAACATTATTAATAATAATTATTCTATTGATATTCCTGATACATATCGTTTGGTATATAAATGTTCTTCAAATCTAGCTTCTTTATTAATGCGTTCTCGTTATCCTTCGTCTTTCTTTAATGTTGTTCCTGTTCATCATATTAACCCTATGGGCTGTGTTAAATGTAATCATCCTCAATGTAAAACTTGTAAATATTTAGTTAGTAAAAATTATTTCGTTTCAACCGTTACCAACCAAATTTATAATATTCCTTATAATGTTAATTGTGGCTCCACTAACTTATCTTATTTAATTACCTGTAATCTATGTAACATGCAATATGGAGGAACCACTAGTCAAAAACTAAGAGATAGATTTAGACAACATCGTTCATCGATTAGAAAAAACTCTGGCAATGACACTAGATGCATTGAACATTTCAACCGTCCTGGTCATTCACTTGAAAATCACAGAGTTATTATTATTGAAACAAATTATATTAACGAGCAACATCGGCTCGACAGAGAACAATACTGGATTAAGACGTTAAAAACACAAATTAATAATAATATTAATCATTAATATTCTTTATTGGCATTGCATTTCACAATCGACGGGACACAGATACATAGTCCTGCATATCACGTCTATAGAGAACATGCTTGGGTGGGACCGTGGGCTGTGTGTCTGTCTGTCTGTGTATTAATGTCTCTAATCTCTAACAAATTCTAACTATTTACCTTGTAGTATAATACTTTATAATATATTTTATTACTTAATCGTATTTAAAATATCGGAATATATTGAAAAATATTGATAAACGGTAAAACTATATTATTATTAATTGTTACTATTCAGTATTTAGTATTTATTTTTCGTTTTATTTGTTATAATGTATTATTACTTGTTATTATTATTGTTATTATCTGGTGCTATTGCTATGTTTTCTATAATATCTCTTTTTATTACTATCTTATTACTACGTTTATTTTATTTTTTTATCCTCATGTTATCTTTGCACAATAACTTTATTTATGTCTTATAATTAATTCCATGTTTTTTCTACATTATTCCTGTGTTACGTTTATCTTGTTATATATTAAAAATTATGGAAATTTACTGATTTTAATATGAAATATTATTGTTAACTCTCAAAGAACCACTGTCAAACAGTCAATGTGCTTATACAATCATAATACATGAACGTTTCGTTTTTTATTTTTCCTTTTTACTGCTTTTAAACGGCATCTATATTTGTTATATTTGCTTGCCTTTCCAGGCCAATGTTTTATTCTTTCTCTCTCTTACTTTTGTTACGTAACTACTTGTTCTTGCTATAGAAAATGTATAACATCTTTTATTTTTTCTCTTCGTTCTTTCGCCCCACTTTTTTGTATAAATACGAGCTCTTTTTTCATTCCTACGTCAGTTGTATAGGCAGTCCAACCTGCATTCTTTCATATCATATACTCTGCTATTAGCTCGTCTAATCTGTAAGTAACTTAACTTTGTTATATTTTTTTGAATTGTATTTTCTACTTGATTTACGAACTAGGTCTATTTTGAAAAAGGTCTATGACCGAAACACGTGTCAATAAATTTGATAAAAATTAGCCTAATTCTGCAAATCATTTATTTAAGTCTAACCTCAGTGTTAGCAAAGATTATCTCATTTAGTCTAACCTCAGTGTTAGCAGAGACTACTTACTAGAATATATATCTCTACATATAGTCATAAGAATTGTAGTGTGGCCTTACCATCCGTGTGAAAATGTCAAGACATGGTTTGAGTCACTGAACTGATGTGTGTTGCCACAATGGACAGGTGACTCATAATCACCGAAGGTTGTTGGATATTGCTGTGACG